TGTGTGTAAAAGCATAATTATAAGGCTATGAAAACCAAACGAATTTTATTTTATAGCGATTATACACTTGTATAAACATATCAATGGGTAGAATATTCAGATTCAGATTCAGATTGACAATAAACCATGCCAAATATTACACACTGGCCCTTTAAGATATACACACAACACTATGACACCAAGTGGACTTAATGATGACTTCAGCTTCAAATGTTTTTTAAGTTAGGACTGTTTGTAGTCTTTTGAAACCCACTTACTATGAATGTGACCACTGACCACTTAATGGTACAAGATCAACTACAGCTGAAAATGAATGTGGTTTATCTAAGTGTCCTTTTATTGGCACCTAGTGTATGGTCTTTAATCAATATTAATTATTAATCAACAAGTGAATCAATAATGGCCACAAGCGGTGTTTTGTGAGGCTTCATATTGTATGTAGTGGTGTCTACATTAGATTTAAGTTGCGACTGGTCCCCGTATCTAGAACCATGGGAAAAGATACATGATTGGTACTTAAAACACTCTGATGATGCAGAATCTAGGGATGTCAGGGCCGATCATGTTATTTTTAAAAAATCGGAGGAATCAGAACAACAACAATGGCCAGGTTTTTCATCTATATTGTTCATTGTTGCCTCCACTTTCCAATGTATAAAGTGTGGCGATCCTGTATATTTTATAAATATATTTTTTTTATGAGACAGTCAGCTGATGGCTTGCTCACCTCCAGACACTGAGGTACCTACAGACACACCCACGGGTGCTATCGGCCAGTGGGATGGCTCGATCAGCTGAGCCCAGGTAGACCGGCCCCTACATTATGCCGCTCCTGGCAGTATGGCGAGAGTCGCCGGCGAGTGAGAAATGAGCCAGAAGCTGGGGCGCCGAAAAGGGGGGAAAAAGGAGAAGGATTGTAGGGGCCCATGATTAAGAGGGGCCCAGAGAGGCCCCTAATAAAATTATAATACTGACAAAAAAATAATATGACACTAAGTTATCAACTAACTTATAATCACAAATATATTTTATTTACAATGTAATTTATCTTGACATAACTTTTTTATGTTAAGTCAACCATTTTTGAGTTTTGAGTTAATTTTACTAAAATTTATAAAGCCAATTTTGCTTAATTATTTAAAGGCCAATAAACAATACTACCATTGTGCACTTAACATATTGTGGTGGTGCTAAATGGGTGGAGTTTCCCCGCATGCCCTGAGACAATGTGTTTAAGGCCATAAGCCGAAGACAACTGTGTTTAAATGTGTTCTAAATCATTAACGTTACCCATTACACATTGATTAATGTTTCTATATTTCACAATGGTTTTAATGGGTAACAGTTAATGTTGTAGTAGATAGAATTGTACTGTGGTGAAATAAGGAGCACTTCCCAGCTCAGAATTCATCTCTTTGCCTTATTCTTGCAATTGAGAAATCTAAGCTTGCCACAATATATATTTATACTACAATGATATCTAAAAAACAATATGGTTGTAAAATGTGAACTCAATGTTTTTATGTTATGACACAGAATTAAGTGCACAATGACAAAAAAAAAAAAAAAATTATGTTAAACTAACATAAAATTCCTGTCAGACAAGGGTAATGTGACACATTTGCTTTGTGTCTGGTGTACTGAAAAGGTATATGTTACTGTATTGTACTAAACTAAAACTTTTGAGTACAAGCTTAGTAAAACGATTTGAGGTTTACAGTGAACATGGACTAAGGCAGGGAATTGGGTGGAAGCAGATGGCCTGCGCAACAGTTATTTTGTACCACTTTCACCAATGAAAAAAGTGTGGTCTGTTGACAGCTTTTTCAATAGTAGAGGCAACATTACAATGTGCGAAGGGAAATGAATGAATAATTCAGCTCCTCCATGAGAAATTCTTCTGACCGAGACTATGCTCTATTGAAGAGATTTGTTTTTCCAACAGACAAACAATGAAAGAAATTAAGAACTGCAGCAGATTATCAAATGCTAGAGAAATATTGTTTTCTCTTTTTTTTGTGATCAAATGTTTTTTTTTATTTTTTTATAAGCAGTGGTATCAACAAGAAATATTGTTTTCTCACAGCCAATATCAGTCTGTATCCCCTCTTCAAATTCTGAGGTTTTTGTGGCTTAGTGAATGCAGCACAGGCAGAACTGTTTGTGGAATTTAAGTCACAGGCTTGATAATTGATCAGTTGATCCAATCAGAGCTGATCAGATGAGATCAATGGATGAGAGCAGCAGCTGTTTGTGAGTGAAAGCAAACTTTTAGACCAGGGCACTGAAATGTTAAGTTTCACTTTCACTGCACCTGGTATTCCAAAAAGTGGCGGCAGATGTTTTAAATAAATGAATGTGTGGGAAACACTGACCCACCTTCACATTTTCCATGTGAAAATATATTCCAAAGTTTAGCTGACATTTATATGAGGCTACAGCAGTTAGACAAAGCAACTGGAGATTGCCAAAACTTCTGTTTAGTCCAGAACTCCCTCTTTGTTTCGCTAGGCTGTCTCCAATTGCTGAGTTGCAGTGGAGGAAAGTATCACAAAGAGGGAATTACATACTAAAAAACTGCAACCCTTAATAATATACAAAATGACACATGTACAGCATACAAACATGTATATTTAGAGCATTTCTTTTAATCTTCCAAAAAGTTTAAACAAGAGAAAGACAACTAGAGAAAGAAAAGAATAAGTAAAAAGTCTAAACTCTGTAACACCCTCAATTATTATGAGACTGCTCTGTCTGTGAATACACATCAAGATCCACACCCCATCCACACCACTGTGGTGTTAATTGTGTGCCTACCTGGTGATCCAACAGAAGGTTATTCTGGAAAGGAAAGAGGCTCCAGGCTCGGGGCAGGGATTCTGAGGACAAAGGCATTACAGTTAGACCCAAAAGATTTTTCAGCTGCTGAGATACTGATCCCAGAATGAGCTTTTTAATCAGCATCTAGAGGGTGCACAGAGATTATTTATCAGTCGAGCGTCCATTTAAGATCGGCTGACTAGTAACTGGAAGGATAGAAGCAATCACTGTGATTATATTCTTTAACAGGGGGATGGGAAGCAAAGATACTCTGTGAGGTATAAGGGACAGGTGTTTTGAAATCCCACTAATTTGCTGCGCTCCCCCAACACAGTCAGCATTTGGAGCTGCAGCAGTGGTCTTACCGAGTCTTTGACGGCTTGAGAGAAGAGGGGGAGCCGGTCTGTCAGGCAGGACAGGAACAGAGCAACCAGCAGCAGAGCATAGTAGATATAGAAGGTGGTGTACCTCCACAAACACACCGTTGACGGCTAAAATAAAAAAGATGAAGCTTTTAACCCATGCAACTTGTCTTGTTGGTGTAAGATAATGCTTTGTGGTACGTTTGCTGTAAGTATTGTCTCTCCTGAAAGTAACTGTGTTTCAGGGCTTTGGAGTTACTAATGACATGGTCAACACAGAACCGGTTACACCCAGAGGTTTGTAATTAACTCCGTTAATCCATATCAGGTTTCACCCTGCTCATTCAAGACTGACCTCGTCCAGGGCCTGGAAGATCTTGGATCTGAAGGTGACTGTGGCACACAGCAGTGCCAGCAGCCAAAAGATCAGCATCACTCCAGATGACTGAACCCCTTTCATCCGTTCATACTGGATTAACAGGGTGGCCAGCAACTGCAGCAAAAACACATTAAGACACATTTATACATCACATTTGACAAAACATACAAAGTTGACTTGAAATAATAAAACATCTCTAATTCTCACCATTCTTCAATGTGGTGTAACAAAGAAAAAGTCAATACATTTTACTGATTACGGTCCAGTAGAAAAAGCAGTCTACAGATGGAAAATATTTCTACCTGACAGCTCAGCTTTGTTCCAATTTTGTTTGCAGCTCTACCACCTTCATCCCAAGTTCAAAATTAGTTCTATGGTTATCTTTATTTTGTTAAAAGACTGCAACCTTCTCTTGAATACAAAAACTAGACATGCAAAATAAAGTACACAAATACAAGAAACGGCAATAAATAATAACAATAATAATAATAATGAGAAGTGGACAATAATGAGCAGTGAATAAAAATGAGCAGTGGATTAAAGAGAGCATATCTAGTGCAAATGATTGTATGTGCAAAAAACAGCACACAGCAACAAGGTGGACAGTAAGCTTATAATGGTGTTTATAAAGTGTCCATAGTGTCCATAAAGTGTCTATGGTGCAGTTTATTGAGAACGGTGCTGGTTATATAGCCTGACAGCAACAGGCAGGAAGGACCTGCGATAGCGTTCCTTCACACACTTTGGGTGAAGCAGTCTATTGCTTAAGGAGCTCTCCAGAGCTTTTATCTCCTCCTGCGGGGGTGGGAGTCGTTAGTCCTCAGAGATGACAGCTTGGCTGTCATCCTCCTTTCTCCCACCACCTGCACTGAGTCCAGAGAGCATCCCAGGACAGAGCTGGCCTTCTTGATCAGCTTGTCCAGGATCTTCCTATCTGCAGCCGAGACGCTGCTGCCCCAGCAGACCACTCCGTAGAAGATGTCTGATGCCACCACAGTGTCAAAGAAGGTGCAGGGTCAAGAGCGCCCCCTGCACTCCAAAAGACCTGAGCCGCCTCAGCAGGTAGAGTCTGCTCTGGCCCTTCCTGTATAGTGCTGTTATGTGATTAGTCCAGTCCAGTTTATTGTTAAGATGAACACCCAGGTACTTATAAGATGTCACCATCTCAATGTCCTTTCCCTGGATGTTCACCGGTGTTGGGGAGAGGAGTCTGTGCCTGCGGAAATACACCATCAGCTCTTGGTTTTCCCCGCGTTGATCTGAAGGTGGTTCCTCAGGCATCAGTCCAAAACATGCTGCTGTGTTGTGCCACAGCTTATTCAAGCGCTGGAATTTGTTATTTATGTGACAACGCCTGAACGCAATACAGGCTCCGCTCCATAGACAGTGTGTTAAGTGCCATTCTGCGGGTCCTGGCCAGGCTCGATCATAATTATTGGTCAGGAAAATACGGCCCAGGCCGCGCTCTTGTGTGCTCACCTATGTCAGTGTCTGTGCGCACGTGTGTGTGTGTGTGGCCGGTGGAGTTTGGGGCCAAACTCCGCCGTGTGTGACACAGAGAGCAGAGGAGGATTGTAAACGTGTGACAATGTAGAGACAGAAATGACATGTTGTTGTGTAAATAAGATAAATAACATAAGGCTATTTAGTTTGTTTAATTGTAATTTTTTAATTTTCTTTTGTTAAATAAAAGGACAAGGTACAGGGCGGGGCGCCCCCCTAAGATAATGGTAGGGGAAACACTAGACATGTTTCAAGCAACGTTTCCAGACAGTGAAATTTCTGTTAACTGTTTTCACCCATTGTTTTATTCAACAGCGAAACCGAAATGATCCCACACCCGAAATTTGTATAAAGCCAGTGCTTCTTCAAACTTCTGTCTCTCAACTCCTCCGCTTGCGCTTGCCATGGCTCTCTGTTTGTTTTTTTCCGCTTCTTTTCTGTGTGAGCGTCACTTTCCCCGGCTCCAATTACAACAGTGTGAGGGGGTGAGTGGGCGGAGCCATAACAGTGATTGGACATTAACTCGTGGGGAGGGCTTTTGTGCAGCAGGCTGACTCGGCCATTCTCTTTACACATCCATGGACTCAGCCTGTGGACAGGCGCACACACACACACACACACACACACACACACACACACACACACACACACACACAGTGGCCTGTAAAGCATCAATGCACAATTAATTGCAAAACCGAAAACCCGCCGTCCATAAGGGCGTATTGATCCGTGCAGGGCGGACCGAACAGTTCAATATTTTACCGAGGACCGTTGCATCCCTAGTGGAAATGCTAAACTGATGTAGGGTCTAGATACATGTCATTAGGGGTTACTTTTCCTTCTTAAGGAGCTATACCAAAAGCTTTTGGTGGGATCATGGATTTTCCACCAAAAAAAAAAGCAGCCCGTACCAGAGTCCTGATGAAATGTGTGCGGTATATGTGTAATTGTTTTGACATCTAAATCACTATTATCAAGCCACAATTCATTTTATTTTTAAAGTTAATAACACAAGTCGATCCTTTGACCCCGCTGTCACATTTGTCACCGAAGTGGAGGACTCCAGTGATGAAAGAAGAATGAAGATGAATGAAGAACCCAGCTTAATGTGAGTTAATGTTGCCTGTGTGTGTTAAATCATGTGTGCAGGTCGGGTCACAGGACTTTCATAAACGGGTGTAGGAGGGTGCAGCTTTGACTTTGGGTTACAGGTCGGTTCTGGTACTGAGCTTTGTGGGGATGGGCGAGTTAATGGGTGAGCAATTTCATGACGTTTACTCGGTACAAATAAACTACACTTCTAGAACACAAGCAGTTTGACTTTTTTTTTTAATCCTCACAACACTAAAATCTTAACTCAAATAGTCATTTCCAGAAAATAAAAACTACAACCACATAAAATATATTGATTTAAACACTGTAACTACACTAAGAGCATCTAAGATCCAAAACACTTCTATTATAATAAATCCAAATGAAGTTAGCTCTATATCAAAGAGGTGATCGGTTTCTCACTGACACACTCTTTCTGTATGAAGGACAAAGATCAAATCTCACCATGGTGAGGCCCAGTAAGGTGGGACTGACTAGGTGGACGGGTGCGGGGACACTGGTGCTGTGACTTCTTTCCCAGAAAGAATAGAAAACATCTGACCAGCAGATAATCCACAGCAGAAGGCCAACAGCCTGTGGAGAGAAGAAGACATCATACATTTCTGACTTGATGATGATTCTTTTCAATGTAAGACCTTGAACTTTTACCAACACTATAGAACTGAGGTATTAACGATACAGTGAGCGCTCTTTTTCCACTTTGCAGAGTTCAACACTAAGAACATGGCAATTAAAATTACATAGCTTGCATTTTGTTAGTGATACTATTGTATGTGATTGGGTGTGTATGTGATTATGTGATATACAAACAAGGGAATATCTGGTGGAGGAAGTGTGTTCATTCCTTCAATAGAGATCCACCGACTTGGTATGGAGCATTGAAGCTGTTCTGAAAGCTTGTGGTGGCCTGACTCCATACAAAGACACCTGATGTTGGTTTTTACTTTGTCATCCATCTGCATATAACTATAATAACCTGAGATTTACACATATGTCTACTGTATGACAGATGTATTATCATTACTGCCTAATTTTTGCTCTGTTTAAGTAACTAATAAGATGAGGCTAACATTAAGAGGACTGATTACCATGGAGAGCAGGAATAATAAAATAAACAATATGCGACACTTTCACAATTAGAAAAAATACTTCCCAAAATAATGAAGGATGACATCACTCACAGTTTTAGCTTTGTTGATGTGACTCATACATATGTAGCCACGGTCATGACTGCGGAGGTAGATGAGGTAGATGGGGGCACATATCCAGAGGTAGAGGCATGGCAGCCACACAAGGACAGTGTTCTGGAAGCACTGGGTGAGGTCTGGATTAGTAGTGTACCAGGTACGGTTCCAATTCTGGTGGAGAAAAGAGAAAAGAGGATAACTCCCAAAAAAATAATAGAAATGTTATCAAAAGTTATAATCTGAACTTCATGCCAGCTGAAAAATGTCCTTACCGCACCCCAGCATCATTGTCACATTAAGTTACAGGTACCAAGGAGCCCACTTGTGACCACACATTCACTTTTCAACCAGAATAGGCAACCTGTGCTTTTCTCTTTGTTCTGAAGTTACCTTTCAAAACTCAAAATGCTCTATTTTGAGTATCACCAAAGCACTGACAGATATACAACAATCATATTATCTGCTTATTAATGTTGACCACATAGGACTGTAGGAATTTGTGTTCAAATGGTCTTGTGATTTAAAGGGGTAATCGCTATTACTGTTATTATTGTGCATGACTCGAATATGACATTATTCATCCAGCAACATTACTCATATCAGAGTGTGTATAATAATAGGGGAATAGTCCTCCTTGTGGGCCACACAAGAGAGATCAATTAGAAATAGGATTGCTATTAATGTCTAAATCTTACTCAATGAGAAGTCTTGCTCTGAAATCTCACAAGACGCATACTCCGACAGGGCAGTCAATAAATTTAAAGGCCTTATTCACATTTTGGAAAACAGCTAAATAATTGCTCATGACATTAAAAAATCTTTTAGATAACACTAAGCTACACTTTCTATACACCAACACAAAACTCATACTTGTTTCCTGCCTTGTCTTTCTGTAACAAGTCACATCTTATGAGATTTCAAAACAAGACTACGCCTTGAGCGAGACTGAGACACAATAACAATTAGACTGGATCGAGCAAAGGTCAGAAAAAAAGTTTAATTTCTCTGTAGGATCCTTTCCATAAAGGTGAAGTTGAAATGAAAATTCAGTTCATGGGCAGCATCTCTGGTTCATTCCTGTAGTCAGCATGCCAATGGCTCCCTCTACACTTGGGACATCTGTGGCATTGTACTGTGTGATAAAACTACACATTAAAGAGTTTCCTTTTATTGAGACCATCCCAGGACACAACTGTGTGGCAATGATGCTGTTTAATCAGCATCTTGATATGCTACAATTGTCAGGTGGATGGATTATTTTGGAAAAGGAGAAGTGGTTGGACTTTAACAAATCTGTGACCAAAATTTGAAAAAGCCAAACAAAAGTGCAAAAACAAGTACCGCTTTAAAAGTACTTTTAAATTTCTGTTCTGTATATATACTAGGGCTGCACGATTCTGGAAAAAATGAGAATCACGATTTTTTGGCTTATAATTGAGATCACGATTCTCTCACAACTTTTTTCAACAAAGATTTATTGTGCTTATTTCCTGATACAGAAGGAAAAGTAACAAAAATTATAAATAAATAACAATAAAACAACAATAATAATGTTGAACAACATTTTTCTGAGGTAGGTAGTCTTCTTAAAATGTACAATTTTTAACAAAATATGACATTGATTGACATGACAACATGTCATGACAGTTGACCATGACAGGACCATAACAACCTACAACATTAACGAGAATATAGTCCTTTTTTCTGCAGCAAACTGCGTAAAGGTTCTTTGCCAAGAACACAAGTTGGTCAACATTTTGAGGCTTCAGTTACAATGTTCCCCCCTGTGCTGAATACCCGTTCAGAGGGGGAACTTGTTGCAGGAATACAGAGGTATTTCCTGGCCAGGACAGACAGTCTTGGATATTCACCCTTGTGTTGCCTCCACCAGACTAAGGGGTCCTCCTCACTGTCAATGTTGCTGATGAGTAGATATGACTGTAGTTCTGAGTCAACATCTTGCTCTAGCTGGGATGGTCCCATCTCATTGCCTCCTGCTGCTTTGAAGAAGGTGCCTAAAGTCTTCCGGCTCTTCTTCATGGGGGTGGCAGCAGGGGGTGCACTTGAGGGCTGACTTTGCTTTAAAACAGAGACAAAGCTTATCTAAATATTCTATAACGCACACACACACACACCCCAAAGTGTAATATAGTTAAAGTACACTACACTGTCACATTTTCTACCATTTAAAAAAATGTGTGAATAGTATGATCTAATGTAAATATAAATACCATAACTGTAGTTACGCCAGTCATCTCATCTGTCAGTCTGGCCTTGACAGTGGTTTTCTTGTCCTCACTGACATATTTCATTTTGAATCTTGGATCCAGGGTTGTGGCAAGGTCGAGCAGCCCCTGTGTGTTTGGATCACTGTACTTTCCTGAAGGTATCCCAGGATTCTTGACTTGATTGATCGCATGAGACCCGAGTCATCTTCCTGCACTGCCACAACTTTACGTTTCAAAGAGGTGGAGAACCGGCTTCACTGAGGAGATACTCACATATTGTTCTCCTGAGAAGGCATCAGTGAACTCTGTCAGTGGGCCGAGTGTATTGTTGACTGCCTCGAGGACCTCTACGTCCTGCCATATGGGAACCAGGTGTCTCACCTTCCGATCAGAGGAGAGAACATGTGAAATAGCAGGTAGCTGTTCAAGTACCCGCTGGACCATAGCTTGTCTCGACCCCCATCTTGTTGGACTCTCAGTTTTCAGCTTGTGTTCAGGTAGCTTGAGCTCCTTTTGGGCCTGAGCAAGCCCCCTCTTCCGTCTCCAACTGTAACTGAAGCAGCCCACAACCTTTTTGCATAGCCCTACAGCGTGGTCGATTCTTGGATCTTTCATTGCGTTCTCTAGAGCAGAAAAAAAATAAATAAATAAATAAAAAAAATTGGAATAAATTCTTGACATCATCAACTATTTTATTATATTTATTATTCATTATTTTACAGTAATATTTTTGATATTTTTGATTTTATTATTGTTATTAAGGTTTCCCTCTACTCAAAAATGTTTTTCTTCTTGTTTTTACAGTTGGATGTTTGAGCTGTGTCCAGCAGCTAAAATAAAAATATTTGTATATTATATTTATAGATCTAATCTTAGATTTTTAATGAGGTAGAATGAGATGTAATTTAAAAGATTTTAACAAGATCATTTAACTTTGTTGAAAGACAGTATGAGATTATTTTTTATGTATTATTATTATTGAGTATTTTATATAGCCTACATTGTAAAACATGTCTGGGGGAGGGGATAAAACATAGTGATGAAAGTAAACATCATCATTATTATTAATATTATTGTCACCACTGGTATTATTATTTAAAACATATTATACAGCTAAATAGCATATTTTTTCAGTAACAGAAAATGATTTTTTAAATAATACACAGCTCACCTATAGCCAGATGCAGCCTGTGTCCAAAACACTGAAGCCTTGTCCAGTTGTTAAGGGATGCTGCTTTCACAATGTTGGATCCATTGTCCGTGGTTATGCACACCATTTCTGCCTCTAGCACAGTCCCTGTGCTAGAGCCTCATCTGTGTGATCCTCAGGGAAAAAGGCAGTCTGTAGGCACCGAGTTTTCACGGTGAAGTCACTGGCAACATAATGGACTGTCAGGCTCATGTATGGTTCCATTGCGCAGCTAGACCTTAAGGCTGTTGTTGCCGCAAAATGATGTACTGCTCGCAATTCTGTCTCCACTGTTGTTCGACACTGACTGTACAGAGCAGGTAGTGCAACGTTTGAAAAATAGCTGCGGGAGGGCACTGTGTAACGCTTGTCTAAGGTGTTGATCATTTTCTTAAATCCCTTGTTTTGCACAGTGTTGAATGGAGCCATATCTTTAGCCAGGTGATACGTGATTGCCTCTGTAATCTCCTTGTGTCTGTGGGAGCTTGTCAGGTATGGAGATGCACTGTATAAGGTTCCCATTATTGATGTCTGGGTGCGAGTGGTAGAGCGGGAGGGATTTTCTCCTGTCGTTTTCTTGGCCTTTAAAGCTTAGTCATATTGAACTTTGTGGTGTCGTTTAAGGTGGTTATACAAGTTCGTTGTGTTACCCTGCGGTGCTAATACTATGGCAAAACACTGCTTTCAAGTGACGTTAGTTTGACTTTCATCGTCTTCTTTGAATCCGAAAAACCTCCACACCACAGAATGTGAACCTTTTTGTGTGAAGGCTTTCACCTCCCTCCTGGACTTCCTACGCACTTGTGAAAAGTCTGTTTTTATCTCCGGGTCCCATTCCCACACTTGGTCACGGGGACGCACTATTCTCCAGACTGCTCCTGCTGAACACCTGACTCAGGCCTGCCTGCTACGCTTGAGGCTTCAACTTCGCGGACAATTTTAATCTTTTCTGGAACCATCCCTCTTTCTTCAAACACGATGGCATTCACCCTACCACCCTGGGAAGCCGCACGCTGGCAGCCAATATTCAGCATGCTGTACATCACACGCCCCCTCCACCGACACTCTTCTTCGCCCCGTGCCAACAGCAGCACAGAGCACAGCCCCGCTCACCAGCGTCCCCGTCCAACCATATCAATCATCACGGCGAATCCCGTTCGGGCGGACATGGCTTGCGCACAAGCCGGGCCAGAGAGGGACGCAGCGACAGAGGGAGAAGCGCCGACGGAGGAGCCCACTGCTCCAATACCACCCACTGCGCTGTCCGCGATGTGTGAACTGTTCGGGGAGACATACAGGGAGAGTGTTGCACCTGCTGCCTCCCTGCCTACCCTTTTTGAAGAAAAGATGAAATTTTACCAGAATGAGACACCACTACGAGCCGACCAGGATCCACTCTTGTGGTGGAAAACTACGCAAGTATCCAAACATTGCTCAGATAGCGAGGCAGAAGTTGGTCATACCTGGCACTTCAGTGAGGTCAGAACGGTGTTTTCATCTGAGTGTCACGTTCATATTGCGTCAGCATTAAGCATCTTATTTTTTGAGTTTTTTTGTAAAAAAAAAAAATAAAATAAATAATAATAATAATAATAATAATAAATTTGAATATTATTTGAACTCTATTTAATTAATTCAAAAATATTCGAACTCAATTTCATGGTGCTTTTGACAGCCCTACTACAAAGACACCCCTCTGCCGCCCGGTCCAGCTACTACTCACAACTCATTCACTCTGGTTCCAATAACCCCAAGACTCTCTTTTCCACTGTCAATAAACTCCTCAAACCCTGCAACAACACCCTCTCCTCCATCACAACTGACAAATGCAACTCCTTCCTGGCATTTTTTCAATCAAAGATCGAAACCATGCAAGCCAACTTCCTCAAACTGAACTGTGACAAATCTGAAATAATACTCATCGGCCTAAAATCCCTCCCTACATCAACACAAAACTTCACCCTCAGCATCGACAACACCACCCTCTCTCCCCCTCCATTCATCCGCAACCTTGGTATCATCTTTGACAATAACCTCTCATTTGAACATCACATCAGCCGCCTCGCCCAAACTGCCTTCTTTCACCTCAGAAATATTGCCCGTCTCCATCCATTACTCTCTTTCTCTGCCACTGAAACTCTCATCCATGCTTTCATCACCTCAAGACTGGACTACTGCAACAGCATCCTCTACGGCTCATCATCCAATGTCCTCAACAAACTTCAGTACATCCAAAACTCTGCTGCCCGCGAATCCGTGTATCATTCGTTAATTCGTTTTTCAAAATAAAACCAAGTATGAAAAAACAAAATAATGACATGTTTTTTCAATATTTGTTTCCAGAACCAAAATGAAAAAACGGATAACGACTTGTTTTCTGATTTCCAATTTTTTGTTTAAATGGAAAATGGAAAAAACGGATAACGGGCCGGGATTTGGGCCTTTCATACACTTTCAATATTTTCATCTCTCGCACATTGTGTTACCCGGAAGCCAAGTTTTTTTTGCTTGTTTTATTATTATTATTATTATTATTATTGAAGAAATATACAAAGATATCACACAAAATATCGGGACAAAAACGTTACAGTGAATAAAGGCAAAAAATAAATAAATAAAGGAGGCTCGAGGTACTTGTATAAAGACATCTGTGGAGGAACTTTTGAACTTTGCATAGGAGCGCTCCATTCTCAACTGCTTGTGGCCTAGTTATGGCTTTATGCCTGTCTTTATTCAAGAGAGTGGTAAATCAGTTTGAGAGCATTATTCATTGATTTTACATTCAGATTTTGTAATATTGTCCCTCAAACCCTGCCCTCACACTCAAATAGCCTCTGCTTGCGCTTAGATCTACTCTGTTCAACCTGATCTCACAGAAATACGTGAAATGACCACAAACTCTTAACACCGCATTCCGTGGTGGCAGCACGAAATGGGTTGAAATTACGTGCCTGTATCACAGAAACAATGCCAATGTAAAGTCAATTAGGATCCATTGTGGTGGACACATGGATTCCCTGATTCAACAATGTCCTGTATACACACAAAAACACTAAAGTGTTCTTGATATTAAAATGGCAAATATATTCCTCTGTTATAATTTCCCACCAATAATAATAAAAATAATAACATAATAGTTCAGCTGTACTAGATATTTGATATAGGTCTATTCAAATATTCAGTCCCAAAAATGCCGTTTCTACAGTACTAGCTAAATTATCTGAAATTAACCATCATCCTTGCTTTTTAATAACATCTAGGTGCAGTGTCATTACTAGTTCGGCTTTACTAGACATTTGATATATTCAGTAGATGTATCTTTTTACGACTCTATTTTACAACAAGCCGCAAAAAACCTACCGTCCCAAAAACGCCGCTTCTAGAGTACTATCTAAAATATCTAAAATTAGCCAACATCCCTGCTTTTTTTCTTAACGTAGTTCATCTAGGTGCAGTGTCATTACTAGTTCGGCTTTACTAGATATTAGATATATTCAGTAGATCTATCTTTTTACGACCCTATTTTACGAGCCGCAAACAAACCTACCGTCCTAAAAATGCCGTTTCTAGCGTATTAGCTAAAATATCGAAAATTAGCCGACATCTTTACTTCTTCTTAACATAGTTCATCTAGGTGCAGTGCTATAACTAGTTCGGCTTTACTAGATATTAGACACATTGGGTAGATATATCTTTTTACAACCCTATTTAGAACCCTACTTTGCAAATCAGAAGAACTACAACTATGTTGCTGATATGTATCAAGCGCATGTCGCGGTCCCAGGGAATAGTTTTTAAAAAAATATTGTTTAAAATTTTTTTATTAAAAATTGTTTTTCCTAGATTTGGAAGTTGTAGCCTAAATACTGAATTGAGAGTACATTGTGGACTTCAAGGGGATGGATAAACACACTTGTGTAATCAGATTTTAAATATCTAATTTCTAAATGGGTGAAAATTAATTTTATCCATATTTAACCCATATCTGACAGCACCCCCAGTTGTTGACTACACTCACATGATAGTTGAGGTCAAGACACTGGACTCGACCCTCACTTTTAAATCTCATATCAAGAAGGTCTCTAACACCTTCAATTTTAATCTACAAAATTTTAAATAAATCAGACCCTTTCTGACAGTTGGTGTCGCTAGGACGTACCTGTACTGTATGATTTTATCTCACATCAACTACTGCTTCACAAACTGGTCTTTCACAGGTGTGACAACACTCAAACCCATTGAACAATTATACAAGAGAGCATTAAAGGTATTTGATTAAAAAACACACACACACACACACTCACACCATCACTGCAACATCTTAAAAAAGTATGATTTTTTAGTTTTGATAATTTTAAGCTTTTTAAACAGGCATGTGTCATCTACAAAGTTCTACATGGACTATGCGCGCCACCCCTGGTAGAATTCATTCATAAAAAGAAAGCCCGACAGGGGCATTGGGACAAGGGCTGCTACCAGAGGGATTTGTGAGGTGCAATTTAGATGATCAACCTTCACTCAGAATGTTCTGTCAGTTCAGGGAAGTTTAAACTGGAACAAGTTACCCGTCAAGATAACAGAGTGTCCATCTTTTGGGTCTTTTAATGTGCAACTTAAAAATTGGACCCTAGACAATCAAACCTGTGAGCAGTCTTAATCTGGCTTGTCTTTTGTATGTGTGTTGTTATTTATGTGTGTATGTGTACATGAACTTGTAGGTATTTATGCATGTTTGTACATGTACACTGTTTTACATTGGTCTTTTGTATTGTAATGTGCTGACCGTTTTTATGTTCATTGTTTGGGGACTGCGGATGAAATTTAGCATGCATGCTAATGCTGGCATATTTACATTACATCATGTACACTGAACAAAAATATAAACACAACACTTTTGTTTTTGCTCCCATTTTTCATGAGCTGAACTCAAAGATCTAAAACATTTTCTATACACACAAAAGACCATTTTCCTCAAATATTGTTCATAAATCTGTCTAAATCTGTTAGTGAGCACTTCTCCTTTGCCAAAATAATCCATCCCACCTCACAGGTGTGGCATATCAAGATGCTGATTAGACAGCATGATTATTGCACAGGTGTGCCTTAGGCTGGCCACAATAAAAGGCCACTCTAAAATGTTCAGTTTTATCACACAGCACAATGCCACAGATGTCGCAAGTTTTGAGGGAGCGTGCAATTGGCATGCTGACTGCAGGAATGTCCACCAGAGCTGTTGCCCGTGAATTGAATGTTCATTTCTCTACCATAAGCCGTCTCCAAAGGCGTTTCAGACAATTTGGCAGTACATCCAACCGGCCTCACAACCGCAGACCACGTGTAACCACACCAGCCCAGGACCTCCACATCCAGCATGTTCACCTCCAAGATCGTCTGAGACCAGCCACCCGGACAGCTGCTGCAACAATCGGTTTGCATAACCAAAGAATTTCTGCACAAACTGTCAGAAACCGTCTCAGGGAAGCTCATCTGCATGCTCGTCGTCCTCATCGGGGTCTCGACCTGACTGCAGTTCGTCGTCGTAACCGACTTGAGTGGGCAAATGCTCACATTCGATGGCGTCTGGCACGTTGGAGAGGTGTTCTCTTCACGGATGAATCCCGGTTTTCACTGTTCAGGGCAGATGGCAGACAGCGTGTGTGGCGTCGTGTGGGTGAGCGGTTTGCTGATGTCAACGTTGTGGATCGAGTGGCCCATGGTGGCGGTGGGGTTATGGTATGGGCAGGCGTATGTTATGGACAACGAACACAGGTGCATTTTATTGATGGCATTTTGAATGCACAGAGATACCGTGACGAGATCCTGAGGCCCATTGTTGTGCCATTCATCCACGACCATCACCTCATGTTGCAGCATGATAATGCACGGCCCCATGTTGCAAGGATCTGTACACAATTCCTGGAAGCTGAAAACATCCCAGTTCTTGCATGGCCAGCATACTCACCGGACATGTCACCCATTGAGCATGTTTGGGATGCTCTGGATCGGCGTATACGACAGCGTGTTCCAGTTCCTGCAGCAGCAACTTCGCACAGCCATTGAAGAGGAGTGGACCAACATTCCACAGGCCACAATCAACGACCTGATCAACTCTATGCGAAGGAGATGTGTTGCACTGCATGAGGCAAATGGTGGTCACACCAGATACTGACTGGTTTTCTGACACCCCCAGACCCCCCAATAAAGCAAAACTGCACATTTCAGAGTGGCCTTTTATTGTGGCCAGCCTAAGGCACACCTGTGCAATAATCATGCTGTCTAATCAGCATCTTGATATGCCACACCTGTGAGGTGGGATGA